CAAATTTGATTACACCGCAAAAGTTACTAGGAATACGGTAATTTGCGTTGCATGCAGGCCACAGTGTTGCCGGGAGTTGCACGTCCATGTGAGACAGGGTCATGAGGGAGCGGGCAGTTCATGCGAGGATAGTGGGGCCAGCAGGAAGAGGGGCGTGGGGCGGGAGTGGGAAGGACTTTTTAAAAGATAATACGCTGTAATAACAACGTAGGCGAAGACGAGTAATAACTTAGTTACAATATAAAGTGAAGAAATTAAAACTAGTAAACCTATTTGTATCATAGAAATGTAGATATGTTTCGTTTATCCCTTTAATCATATTTGCAACATACAAATTTAGATATGTTTATCCATTTAAACATTTGCAACTTCCTGTCAGTAATTTAGATAGGTTTATCCACGTTCGTGCTGATGACTCGTGATGAAACGCACGCCTCTACTACATTTAAGGTATTGCTAAGTTCGTTGTCATTTGCGTGCACTCGCCAGCCTCAATGGGGTTGTAAGTTCGTTGTCATTTACATCCCACCATCTGGTGCCTTCTGACCTGCCAACCGACAGGAATTCCCGCTCATCGGGTCTGAGGACACGGCCACGAACACGCACAAGGGGGCATTGACTGAACAATCCTCGCACACCTCTGGGTTAAAATCCCCAACCAGCGCGCATTGACTGGTTTACTGTTGTTTGCAGAAACAGGATTAGCACTTGCGGCCTTCTCGCCACAGGTACGAGTGGGGGTGCTCAGCGTCGTGGGCAGCAGATGTCGTCAGCGCCGGAGCAGAGATAGAGATCGCGGGAGCCGGGCGGAAACGTCACGTACGGGGGTATTGTGTTGCACCGCAGGTAGCCCGCGTCGGGATCCGGGCGCCGCCTTCTCGCGCGGCAAGTGTTCGCCAGATGAGGACGAGGCGGCGGTTACCAACTCCCACGCTGCCCCGCCCGTGGGCGGGAATACCCTCTGCTGACAGTGCAGCGAAGTGCGAATGAATGGTTATGTATATAATGAAACTAGTATGAATGATGTGTGAATGTAGAAAAATAAAATTTACCAACCAATATAATAACAATTTACGTAGTATATAGTATAACAAAACTGATCTTAGTGTAAGTTAGTAATGCCAAAGTGCAAGTAAGTTAACTTTAGGTCTAGAATGTAAAATTAGTTGTACGAAAAAGTCCCTCCTCTAGCTGCTTAGGCCGCAAGGCAGCAGTACAATGTACAAAATTTGAAGTAAATAAATTCCCCTTCTCCACAGGGTTAGTGTGGAGGGGACAAAAGAGCTCTCTACTTCTGTAGGACAGCACACAGTTTATTCATTTCAATTAATAAACTAAACGATGATTCCAGTCATATTTTTTTATTTTTTTATTCTTAAACTTCCGATCTCTAAGTGTGAGATCCACTTTAGTATAAAACATATCTGAAAATACAGAGTTGTAACGCAAAAAAAGTTTTAACAATAATTTTAAAAGTTAAAATTACGTGTTTAAACAAGTTTTAACTAATAAAATAATTTAAAAACATATTTTCGTAACAACTATGTTTTTTCATGTATGTTAAATACTGAAGAGGGTCCCTCACATAAAGATAGAAACGTCTATTAATTAAGAAAAGTATGACTGGAATTATCGTTTACTTGATTGATTGATATTTAATCCAGTAATCACTCTGAACGTTTTGATTACTTTTTTTCCATTACGCGCAGAAATTGTAAGAAAACTATGGAGACTTCAGCCAAATCACGAGGTGTCTATGGTTTCTTTACTTACCCAGGAACATGGAAAAACTCCAAAATCAATGATACATTTTTCAGCCACAATCGAAAAATTTCTAAATATTTGATTGTGTTATTCCGCCTATTACCGTTCTGTGTGTGTTGACCGAATTGTAATACTCACTGTATCACTACCGAGAACACAGCTGTCGTCATGCGACAGCAAGGCTTCAAGCAAGAGGCTCGCCATTAAATACAAATATTTACTATTCAAGTGTTGCGCTACACATTAACTTTTTTTTAAAAATACTCTTGGCTTGCAAAGAACTCTTGAACAGTGTCCCCGTACTAAACAATTTTATTGTAGTATTCGTAAAGACAGCCTTTGGTAAAATAATTAATTTATTGTAGTGTACACGAGAGTATGCTATTTGTATGAGTCATATATTTGCTACTTTTTGGAAAATATTTTTTTGCTTTTGTTCTGGAACAAGTTTGCTGCTACTGCAAGCCGCTAGACGTATGCTGCTATTCGTAGTACGCTATAGTACAGCGCAGTTGGATACATACTCGCTGGTGGGAACCTGCACGTTTCTTCAATTTCCCCCTACAATTATCTCTAGAGGGTCGGTAATTTATTTACTTTAGAAGCAGAACAAATTTGCGTGCGCGACAACTTGGCTTTTCCGGCAAAAGGAGAGGGAAGTCTCACAATCTAGCTAGAGCTAATCTTAGAACTAACTTAGCGGTCTACTCACCGTATCAGACACTCGAATTTTATGAGACTGTGTCATCAGTGAATGTATAATCGACAACTCATTCGGTCACATTTTGAAATACAATACTTTCGAATATTAGAAGCGCATTGAAAAAGACATTGTTTCGTAAGGGATGGTAGTTTCTTTTCTCTTTCAGGTCAAAATTAGGTGTTATATCGAAAATACTCGTTTATTGATATTGATAATTACAGAACGAGTAAGTGATTCGTTTAAATGTCGCCTATTAAAACCAAAGATTATTTCAAGATACGAAATCGGGGAGAGAAAAAAAGCATCTCAATATTTTAACAAAAAGGGTTAAGATAACCTTGTAACTAGGTTATTGTAATACTGACTGAACGGAAGCTTCTCAAAAAACCTTTTTCTCATTTTCCAAACATCTACTAAAATTCGAACACTCACCCTCTTGAAGCAAACCACTCAATTGGACTTACGGTTAAAGCGTTTCAAAGGTCAGTTTAAAGAAATGTACGAGTACAAAGTCCATGTAAACACGCAATACAATGACTGATGATGTACGGAAACATCTAACACGTAATATAGCAACGTTAAGCAGATTAGAAATAAGAACAGAAGGGGATATCTGTGAAAGCTTTGTAGTGAGTAAGAAAGAAATAATCTTTTCGTTTATTACGAATTGTAGAGATTGAAATCATCGTGTCTGGCATTTTGCTGACATAAAAAACTTGCTCTATTTTCGTTCGATATAAATCGTTTCAGCTAAGAGCAATCAGCATCGTCAAGGTCGCTCAGTCAGAAGAAAATGCCGACTACTAATTTCGTTCACGTTTATTGTTTTTAAGTTCGAATGTTATACTTTAAAACAAATTACCAAGCCATACAAAAACAATTTACGTAGTATATATAATATAGTATAAAAAAACTGATCTAGTGTAAGTTAGTAATGCCGAAGTGCAAGTAAGTTAACTTTAGGTCTAGAATGTAAAATTAGCTTAGTTTTGCGACAAGTGGTAGGGAAACAAAGGAATTTGCAGTGTATCAGAAATATCAATTTTTCTGATACATGTTATATGTTTTGTTACACGTTATAGATTTTAACTATATTATATTTAATGTCGCCTGCATTTCATGTTATTTCTTTGAACACAGTCCAAAACTGTGCCACATTACTGAACTAATAGGATGTTAATTAGACCTACTTCATTTATTTAAATGTAATGACATTTTCATATTTTACAAACAATCAAGTTTCCTAGATAAGGATATACTACAGTACACATATAAAGTGTAAACAACGACGAAACTCCAGAAACATTCATTCGTTATAGAGTTACCATCACTTGGAGAAAGTGCGAAAGTACGTTTAATTAGTCCTTGCGTGCAAGTAGTCATAAAAACGTTACAATTTTGTACCAAATAACATTTATTATTTCCTGTGCAATTAATTAAATTAATTAAAATTTGTCTTCTACTCGTCTTTCAACAAAGAATCAATTTGTCTCATTAACCAATCTCCTGCAAATTTACCTTCGTTTAGCAATTGCACGCCTGATTTATTATATATTTATTCAAACATAAACGTACCCACATTACCTTAACGGTTCGGTGTCCCCGAGAGTTCCTCCTTGGTGGAGGACAGAAGAAAGCAAAAACAATTGCTACCGACTTCCGGCCTCTTTCCCTGTTCACCAAGCGCCTTGCGCCTGTCCTCGCTGCAGCGGAGGCGCCAAGTGGTTGTGTCGTAATTCTTGGCAAATCCCGTTCGTAGCGGCGATGTCTCCCCTGGATGCAGATCGCTGGATCTCTCGTCTCGGATCGCGTAACCTTTCAAGAATTTCTCTTACCGGAGCAGCGGGGCCGCGCCGTGATGTGGTGCGCTGGTGCTATCGGATTCCTTGGCCACGTGGGCTCAACCACCTCCACCTTCCGTAGCAGCGTTGTCGCCCAATGAAACAGCACCGAGTCTCTTGTTTCCTCCGATGGCTTGGGTTTAATTCAACCCCTGAGACGTACCGCAAGGACTTACGTTTACAGTAGAAGCAATACCCCGGAGTACACTTCTCACAAAAAACATGCACAACTTCTTCACCCGCACTTGCCCCGTAGAAAAAAGTGTTCTCACTTCACATGGAGATCTGTCCACTACTACAGCGCATCGGAACTGGCCGAGGGTCTTCGAACGGGAATTTCTGCAACCTACGACTCGCATTGTAATCAAGCCGCTGGGGCGGTTGTTTTGCGACCACCCTGACCTACCTCAACACCCGGACTACCTTCACTCCTGCTTTCCTCATTCCAACCACCACCGCTGCCCCGCCTCCGGATAAAGGTACATCACCCGTATTGATTCTTCACGGTGATTAGTAAATCCGCGAACAATGTTTTCCTATCTCTTTTGCCGGGCTTAGAAAACCTCTCCATTGTCGTGCCCAACTCTTTCCTCACACCTTTAAATCAACTCCTCGCTCATTTCCCAATCGTCCGCTACCACCGTTAGTCACCCGCGCGCAGCAAATCCTTCAAGAGGCATTAACGGGCACACACGCTCTCACGGGCGCCGCGCCCCGCGACCGCACGGCACGCGCCAGGGCGGCCGGTGACGTCAGACGCAGGGCTCCCGGACGCGCACCCCCTGTGACGCGAAGCGCCGCGCCGCGCCGCGCCACGCGACCCGCCCGCGGCGGCGGCGCGGCGACGAAAGGGTGCAGCGCGCCGCCGGGGGAGCCGGTTGCGATAAATCTGCGGGCCGCCGTGTGCGCCCCCCTGCTACCGGCACCACGCCGCGGGCCACCGCCGCCATTGCTAGCACTGCCGCCGTAGGGGACATTGCCACCGACGCTCTGGCTATCCCTTCACGCGTTGAAGTAACGTAGGAGTGTGGGTAATGGGGAGTGTTGCCCTTCTCAACGATTGAGCTTTATTGATTTTTTATATTTATGGAAAGGTTTGAAAGACGTATTATATGAAATATGAAACATACGAATTATATAATAATTATAATGGATAATAACGGAATAATAATATAAAGAATATAAAAATAATAATATAATGAATAAACACATTTGAGTCTAATGAGATTACATCAATTGTTATAACAGCAACAGGTCTAGTTAACAAAACTGAGTATTATGTTAAAAAATGAGTCTTTCTCCTACTCACAAATGTTTCCAATCACGCGAAGGTCAGGCCTTTTTGAAATTGCCGGATGTTCACACGACGTATTTAATATGTAAATCTAGGAATGTGGTACGCCTAAAGCTGCCCCTCAACCTTGAACCCCGGGTGAGAAACGCTTTTGCGAAATGGTATATTAATATAATTAATAATAATAATAATATAATATAATAATAATAAATATAAAATAAAATTAAATAACTCTCGTGACATTCTTCGATAGCATCATTAAAACATCCTCTGAAATTAACACGTTGATTTTACGCTCGTGGTTCAAGAAAAACGGTTTTGATGGCAACTTCCTCGGAGTGATCTCTCTCTTTT